GAACCTAGGAGAGGAGGTCATTCTGACTTTGCTATGACAATCTGGCGCTTCTGAATCAGCTACTGTTTTGTTATTAGTTTAAGTATTTGCTATTGACTGTTCAAATGTGGAGTTTTGTGCGTGCGTGAGCGATTATAGTACGGGGCGTTACATTTCCGAACAGTGTTCGGCCAATCACAATGCACTGGGTCAGCTGGCCAATCTTGTCTGAAGGAGGGACTTTGTAGAAAACGAAGCATTTGAGAGAGGCGGGGCACAGATGACCTGAGTTATGTCAGTAGTACCCGTCTCGATGATCATTCTCGTAAACACAGTCGGTTATGTTTTAAATGAATGTAAACCGCTGAGAAAGAAATCGGATGTGTATCATTATACTGGATCCGTGCAGTCGGATTTAAAGGGACAGCAGCCTATAAATACCTGCTGCTGAATATGTCACTAATGTTAATCAAACAACAAAACAGCTATAACAAAGATTAATCTAAATTGAATTCATACAGTGAACACAATGCAGTGTTATTTTACACTTAATTATTAAATTTCTGTATCTGAATACTACTGTTTATTTTATCTATGCTTGTAAATTGTGTATTTCTTTTTTTTTTACTGACTGTTCACTTGCCGTTAATCATGTTTGAACTTTCTCAGACTATAGTTTTTGCTGTGGTATATGAAGAAGTACTTAAAGTGTGTGGAAAGCAAAGTTACAATGATATAAAATTAGTGTCATTAATTTTTTTTTTTGTTTGTATGTTCACACTGATGTTTAAATGACATTTTTCTGATTCGTGACTACTTTTTATGTAATGCTAAAACACTGCTGGTCACTTTCAGAAGTTGTAGTGATTCTTTCTTTTCCAAGAAAGAATGTGAAACTAATTTGGTTATATAATTTTCATTTTTAAATATTTTAAAATATAATTGAAATTGATTTTACACACTTTAAGCAATATCGTATCGCATATCGCATTTTTCTTCAATATCGCACAGCCCTACTTTACAGTCACGCAGGCATCGGGTCGGTTCAGCTTGACCCGACGTTATGAATGAGTCCTTATTGAGGCCTAAATCGGGTTGGGAATAAACAGCCCCCTTTTCAAAGTCACCCTGGCAGTTTCACTCGGCTGTGCTGTCCCAAGTTCCACTGACACTTTTAGACAGCTGGCAGGGCTAAAGATAGCTCAGAAGAGAGGGATTTGGAGAAAGAGGAAGAGTATCCACATTGTGGTGAGCAGTGGGCCGAGCCGGAGGGTCTCGCACCTCTTAAAGGGGTCATATAATGCTTTTTTTTTTAAAGATCATTATTTTGTGTATTTGGTGTAACAGAACCTAGATCTCTTTGGTTTTGAGACTTTAGTCTTTGCAACTTCAGGGATCTTATCTATGCACAATCAGCTTGTAACACTCCAAAGAGAAAGGAAAATTGAAATCGCATCATATGACCCCTTTAAAGGGAACGCGATCTGAGTTGAGCTCAGGTTCATTGCAGAAGATATTGTTTATGCCCGCTGTGGAAAAGGTAATTCCAGGATGACGCTCAAGTTTTTCATATTAGGAGAAGATCCTCCAACATGTTCTCTCTGCCAAAACCCATGTTTTGTTAGATTGAACTGGTTTTAAGCCTGTGAGAAAACTTTATTTTTTTAAAGTTAATTCTTTTGAAGAGATTTTTAACATAGTTAAGCCAAATGCAGTTTTTAGCGAAAATAAATAGTAAAAATCTGATATAATTTAGCCATACATTTTCTCACCAAGAAAATAGCCGCAGAAGCTGGCTTGGCGTTAAACCCAAACAAACAAATCATTGCAGAAGGTTGTTTGCTTGAGTAATCTGCTAGTTGAACAGTTTACTCCAGGACACCTCTTATATTCGTTTTGATTAATTCAGGGATCCCACAGTTACTGAAAACCTGGTATTAACCGTTTCAGGGGCTAGAACACTTTTAAATTTGAACCAATACAATTATAAACTAATAAATATTTGTAGGTATTATTTATATGCATTTATTATTGTTATTGTTTGTTTGTTTTTTGGTTGATGCAAATCCTGATATCTGGAGAGCAGAAGCACCCGAATACCAATATATCAGTTTAATTAAAATATGACTTATTAAAAACATAATAATATTTATAATTGATGCAAATGAAATATTAACTAAAACATATTTGTGAATAATGTTTAATAGCAATTTTTTTTAATTCAATAGGAAATATTAATTATTAATAAATATTTGTTGTTTTTATTATTATTATTATTTGTTGATTTTGGTTGAATGTTTGATTGATTTGCTAATGCTTATCATGAATCCTGATATCTAGAGAGCAGTCCAGCCATATTTTACTCAAATATTATTTGTTAAATATATATTTTTATAATATAAATTAATAAATATATTTTAATATCTATCTTTCTATCTTTTTTTTGATACTAAGAATAACTGTCAACTAAGTCAATTTTGGACTTTTTATTTACTGTATGTTTTTTTTTCTCATTTAGAGTTCTGCCTGCTTCAGAAATAGACAAGCTTTTTTTTTAGTGTGCTTTGATGTGACGTTCAAATGCTCTTTATTCACTTGTCTTAAGAGACGAATGGGTTCTTAAAAGTTATGAATTTGTTCAAATGTAAAAATGTTTCATTAAAACCAATATAGCATGCTAAATAAAGTGTAAAAGGTGTACTCATTGTCTTCTGCTGTATAATACATGTTTCACGCAGTGCGGTGTATTGAGGTGGCTGTTTCCTGTTTTGTCTCCTTCCTTTTCTAGATAATCCAGTATCAAACAGTGCGCTATGACATCTTACCGTTGTCAACCATTTCCAGAAACAGACTCAGTGAGTGTTTCTTTTCTTCTCCTCAAGTTAAAAGTTACTGGTATGACAACAGAAAGCCCGATCTGAGTGTGAGTTGTCTTTGAGAAACTCATACTGTTTGATTAATCCGCTTGCAGTGTTGCGTTTGTGTGCAGTGTTTTCATATGCTGACTTTCACTGAGTAACGTGAGTTTGTGTTTGTATTTCTGTTCAGACACCGTGAAGCGAAAGATCTTAGTTTTAGATCTCGACGAGACGTTGATCCACTCCAACATGTTCTCTCTGCCAAAACCCATGTTTTGTTAGATTGAACTGGTTTTAAGCCTGTGAGAAAACTTTATTTTTTTAAAGTTAATTCTTTTGAAGAGATTTTTAACATAGTTAAGCCAAATGCAGTTTTTAGCGAAAATAAATAGTAAAAATCTGATATAATTTAGCCATACATTTTCTCACCAAGAAAATAGCTGCAGAAGCTGGCTTGGCGTTAAACCCAAACAAACAAATCATTGCAGAAGGTTGTTTGCTTGAGTAATCTGCTAGTTGAGCAGTTTACTCCAGGACACCTCTTATATTCGTTTTGATTAATTCAGGGATCCCACAGTTACTGAAAACCTGGTATTAACCGTTTCAGGGGCTAGAACACTTTTAAATTTGAACCAATACAATTATAAACTAATAAATATTTGTAGGTATTATTTATATGCATTTATTATTGTTATTGTTTGTTTGTTTTTTGGTTGATGCAAATCCTGATATCTGGAGAGCAGAAGCACCCGAATACCAATATATCAGTTTAATTAAAATATGACTTATTAAAAACATAATAATATTTATAATTGATGCAAATGAAATATTAACTAAAACATATTTGTGAATAATGTTTAATAGCAATTTTTTTTAATTCAATAGGAAATATTAATTATTAATAAATATTTGTTGTTTTTATTATTATTATTATTTGTTGATTTTGGTTGAATGTTTGATTGATTTGCTAATGCTTATCATGAATCCTGATATCTAGAGAGCAGTCCAGCCATATTTTACTCAAATATTATTTGTTAAATATATATTTTTATAATATAAATTAATAAATATATTTTAATATCTATCTTTCTATCTTTTTTTTGATACTAAGAATAACTGTCAACTAAGTCAATTTTGGACTTTTTATTTACTGTATGTTTTTTTTTCTCATTTAGAGTTCTGCCTGCTTCAGAAATAGACAAGCTTTTTTTTTAGTGTGCTTTGATGTGACGTTCAAATGCTCTTTATTCACTTGTCTTAAGAGACGAATGGGTTCTTAAAAGTTATGAATTTGTTCAAATGTAAAAATGTTTCATTAAAACCAATATAGCATGCTAAATAAAGTGTAAAAGGTGTACTCATTGTCTTCTGCTGTATAATACATGTTTCACGCAGTGCGGTGTATTGAGGTGGCTGTTTCCTGTTTTGTCTCCTTCCTTTTCTAGATAATCCAGTATCAAACAGTGCGCTATGACATCTTACCGTTGTCAACCATTTCCAGAAACAGACTCAGTGAGTGTTTCTTTTCTTCTCCTCAAGTTAAAAGTTACTGGTATGACAACAGAAAGCCCGATCTGAGTGTGAGTTGTCTTTGAGAAACTCATACTGTTTGATTAATCCGCTTGCAGTGTTGCGTTTGTGTGCAGTGTTTTCATATGCTGACTTTCACTGAGTAACGTGAGTTTGTGTTTGTATTTCTGTTCAGACACCGTGAAGCGAAAGATCTTAGTTTTAGATCTCGACGAGACGTTGATCCACTCGCATCACGATGGAGTTCTCAGACCTACAGTGCGGCCTGGGACACCGCCAGACTTCATCCTCAAAGTAAGACGAAATGTTTTTGAATAAGTTTTCAAAATTTGCAGAATTAAAAATGCATAGCCATCTATAAACAAAGGTTACCATGCTCATTGAAAACTAGGAAGAGTCAGTTATTATGATTCTAGGCTTGGGTAATTCTTGGAAATTTCTGTTTTTCTTTATGCTTCGCTCGAAAATATTTCATCAGCTAGCAGTTCCTCTCACAAAATAAATAAAAAATAATAACGATAACTATTGTTATGATTATTATAATTATTGTTTGTAGTGTGGTATTATTATATTAATAAATTGTATTAGTAAATTGTAAAAAGTTTGATTTAAAATATAACACTAAAATACTATAACAATATTAAAATAATAGTAATAGTATTATTTTACTATTATATTATTACAATGGAATAACATTAATGTAAGTATGAAGTATTACTAATCTTATTATAGTATTTTAATATTATATTTTTAATATAAATTCCAATATTAATAATAATAATAATAAAAATGTTTATATTAAAATAATATTAATACAATAATAGTAATTAATAATAATGGTAACACTTTACAAAAAGGTCCCATTAGGTAACATGAACTAACAGTGAGCAATATTTTTGTTACAGTATTCATCTTTGTTAACATTAGTTAATAAAAATGCAGCTGCTCATTGTTAGTTCATGCTCAGATCCATTACATAATAAACAGATACAATAAACTGATTTTATTAATGTATTAGTAAATGCTGAAATTAACATTTACTAATAGTAATAAATGCTTTAGAAGTTTTCCCTTATTGTTAGTTCATGTTAACTAATGTAGTTAACTAATATTAACAAATGTAACCTTATTGTAAAGTGTTACCATAATAATAATAATAATAATGCATTATTATTATTATTAGCTATCCATTAACCATTTATGACTGTTTCATCCATAGTTAAAAAAAAAAAAAACCTCCACATGTCTCGTTTCATTTTTCTCATATAAGCTGTTGTTGTTTTTCAGGTGGTAATAGACAAACACCCGGTCAGATTCTTTGTACATAAAAGGCCGCATGTGGACTTCTTCCTGGAGGTGGTCAGTCAGTGGTATGAGTTAGTAGTGTTCACTGCTAGTATGGAGATCTATGGTTCTGCAGTAGCTGATAAGCTGGATAACAACAAGGGATTCCTAAAAAGAAGATACTACAGACAGGTAACCGCTGAAACTCTTGACGTTTCATTTTGCATAAACATTTGCCGTGAGCAGTATGGAAAAGGCCGAAAATTTGAAAGCATATATAGTATGTCTATAATATTTTCTCTTCTTTTTGTGTTGTCTTTATCTTGTGCAGCACTGTACGCTGGATTCAGGTAGTTATATTAAAGACCTGTCTGTTGTACATGACGACTTATCAAGTATAGTCATTCTTGACAACTCGCCGGGAGCATATCGCAGTCATCCAGGTAAAACTAGACCTGATTTCAGAGCTGTGTAGAGCTGCTTTTGCAGGATTAAGGTGTGTGTGTGTGTGTGTGTGTGTGAGTTAATTCTTTTGAAGAGATTTTTAACATAGTTAAGCCAAATGCAGTTTTTAGCGAAAATAAATAGTAAAAATCTGATATAATTTAGCCATACATTTTCTCACCAAGAAAATAGCTGCAGAAGCTGGCTTGGCGTTAAACCCAAACAAACAAATCATTGCAGAAGGTTGTTTGCTTGAGTAATCTGCTAGTTGAGCAGTTTACTCCAGGACACCTCTTATATTCGTTTTGATTAATTCAGGGATCCCACAGTTACTGAAAACCTGGTATTAACCGTTTCAGGGGCTAGAACACTTTTAAATTTGAACCAATACAATTATAAACTAATAAATATTTGTAGGTATTATTTATATGCATTTATTATTGTTATTGTTTGTTTGTTTTTTGGTTGATGCAAATCCTGATATCTGGAGAGCAGAAGCACCCGAATACCAATATATCAGTTTAATTAAAATATGACTTATTAAAAACATAATAATATTTATAATTGATGCAAATGAAATATTAACTAAAACATATTTGTGAATAATGTTTAATAGCAATTTTTTTTAATTCAATAGGAAATATTAATTATTAATAAATATTTGTTGTTTTTATTATTATTATTATTTGTTGATTTTGGTTGAATGTTTGATTGATTTGCTAATGCTTATCATGAATCCTGATATCTAGAGAGCAGTCCAGCCATATTTTACTCAAATATTATTTGTTAAATATATATTTTTATAATATAAATTAATAAATATATTTTAATATCTATCTTTCTATCTTTTTTTTGATACTAAGAATAACTGTCAACTAAGTCAATTTTGGACTTTTTATTTACTGTATGTTTTTTTTTCTCATTTAGAGTTCTGCCTGCTTCAGAAATAGACAAGCTTTTTTTTTAGTGTGCTTTGATGTGACGTTCAAATGCTCTTTATTCACTTGTCTTAAGAGACGAATGGGTTCTTAAAAGTTATGAATTTGTTCAAATGTAAAAATGTTTCATTAAAACCAATATAGCATGCTAAATAAAGTGTAAAAGGTGTACTCATTGTCTTCTGCTGTATAATACATGTTTCACGCAGTGCGGTGTATTGAGGTGGCTGTTTCCTGTTTTGTCTCCTTCCTTTTCTAGATAATCCAGTATCAAACAGTGCGCTATGACATCTTACCGTTGTCAACCATTTCCAGAAACAGACTCAGTGAGTGTTTCTTTTCTTCTCCTCAAGTTAAAAGTTACTGGTATGACAACAGAAAGCCCGATCTGAGTGTGAGTTGTCTTTGAGAAACTCATACTGTTTGATTAATCCGCTTGCAGTGTTGCGTTTGTGTGCAGTGTTTTCATATGCTGACTTTCACTGAGTAACGTGAGTTTGTGTTTGTATTTCTGTTCAGACACCGTGAAGCGAAAGATCTTAGTTTTAGATCTCGACGAGACGTTGATCCACTCGCATCACGATGGAGTTCTCAGACCTACAGTGCGGCCTGGGACACCGCCAGACTTCATCCTCAAAGTAAGACGAAATGTTTTTGAATAAGTTTTCAAAATTTGCAGAATTAAAAATGCATAGCCATCTATAAACAAAGGTTACCATGCTCATTGAAAACTAGGAAGAGTCAGTTATTATGATTCTAGGCTTGGGTAATTCTTGGAAATTTCTGTTTTTCTTTATGCTTCGCTCGAAAATATTTCATCAGCTAGCAGTTCCTCTCACAAAATAAATAAAAAATAATAACGATAACTATTGTTATGATTATTATAATTATTGTTTGTAGTGTGGTATTATTATATTAATAAATTGTATTAGTAAATTGTAAAAAGTTTGATTTAAAATATAACACTAAAATACTATAACAATATTAAAATAATAGTAATAGTATTATTTTACTATTATATTATTACAATGGAATAACATTAATGTAAGTATGAAGTATTACTAATCTTATTATAGTATTTTAATATTATATTTTTAATATAAATTCCAATATTAATAATAATAATAATAAAAATGTTTATATTAAAATAATAGTAATACAATAATAGTAATTAATAATAATGGTAACACTTTACAAAAAGGTCCCATTAGGTAACATGAACTAACAGTGAGCAATATTTTTGTTACAGTATTCATCTTTGTTAACATTAGTTAATAAAAATGCAGCTGCTCATTGTTAGTTCATGCTCAGATCCATTACATAATAAACAGATACAATAAACTGATTTTATTAATGTATTAGTAAATGCTGAAATTAACATTTACTAATAGTAATAAATGCTTTAGAAGTTTTCCCTTATTGTTAGTTCATGTTAACTAATGTAGTTAACTAATATTAACAAATGTAACCTTATTGTAAAGTGTTACCATAATAATAATAATAATAATGCATTATTATTATTATTAGCTATCCATTAACCATTTATGACTGTTTCATCCATAGTTAAAAAAAAAAAAAACCTCCACATGTCTCGTTTCATTTTTCTCATATAAGCTGTTGTTGTTTTTCAGGTGGTAATAGACAAACACCCGGTCAGATTCTTTGTACATAAAAGGCCGCATGTGGACTTCTTCCTGGAGGTGGTCAGTCAGTGGTATGAGTTAGTAGTGTTCACTGCTAGTATGGAGATCTATGGTTCTGCAGTAGCTGATAAGCTGGATAGCAACAAGGGATTCCTAAAAAGAAGATACTACAGACAGGTAACCGCTGAAACTCTTGACGTTTCATTTTGCATAAACATTTGCCATGAGCAGTATGGAAAAGGCCGAAAATTTGAAAGCATATATAGTATGTCTATAATATTTTCTCTTCTTTTTGTGTTGTCTTTATCTTGTGTAGCACTGTACGCTGGATTCAGGTAGTTATATTAAAGACCTGTCTGTTGTACATGACGACTTATCAAGTATAGTCATTCTTGACAACTCGCCGGGAGCATATCGCAGTCATCCAGGTAAAACTAGACCTGATTTCAGAGCTGTGTAGAGCTGCTTTTGCAGGATTAAGGTGTGTGTGTGTGTGTGTGTGTGTGAGCGGTTGTCCAGCTGGTCTCTCTACATGATGTCTGTACTTCAGGCCATTTCTACGTTCAGCATCACAGCAATGTGAACCATAAACAAACATCAGATTTAATATGGGATTTTTATTTATTATTATATTATATATATGTGACCCTGCACCACAAACCCAGTCTTAAGTGTCAATTTTTTGAAATTGAGATTTATACATCTCTGAATAAATAAGCTTTCCATTGATGTATGGTTTGTTATGATAGGACAATATTTGGCCGAGATGCAACTATTTGAAAATCTGGAATCTGAGGGTGCAAAAAATCTAAATACTAAGAAAATCACCTTTTAAAGTTGTCCAAATGCAGTTCTTAGCAATGCATATTACTAATCAAAAATTATGTTTTGATATATTTACAGTAGGAAATTTACAAAATATCTTCATGGAACATGATCTTTACTTAATATCCTAATGATTTTTGGCATAAAAGAAAAATCTATAATTTTGACCCATACAATGTTTTTTTGACTATTGCTACAAATATACCCCAGCGACTTAAGACTGCTTTTGTGGTCCAGGGTCACTTATATTATATTATATTATATCATATCATATCATATATATCATATCATATTATATTATAGAAAACTTTACAGAATCCAAATCGTTTGGATGAAAGCAAGCCCCCTATTAGTTTTACTCTGAAATGCATCACTTTATGGATTGTAATGTTGCATCATACATGCGTATAATGAATCTAATGTTGAGAACATCTGAACTTTTGGTTGCAACTACTTAAAGGGTCATGAAACTGATAATGGAGATCAATTGAGCGGCAAAAGTTTTGTTCTTCTGGTCAGTTCTCACTCTCACACACACACATACACACACACACTCTCTCTCACTCTCTCTCTCACACACACACACACACACACACACACTCTCACACACACTCACACAAGGAATTTGTCTTGGCGACAGGAGCTTCCAGTGCAGAAGAAAGTACACACATAGTGCAAACATGCATGATAGTGCAGACATGCATAGGAATTACACAGTAGAGATGAAATATAACAGTAATATATAAAAAAAACTGAATTAAATAATGGAATATAATTGTTTTAATGAATGTACAGATACTGTATGCTATTTACAAGTGTGCAGTTTATGTAGTTTACAGTTTTCAGATGCTATGTATAAATGTGTCAGTTATAATGGGCAATATAGCCTGCGGGAAAAAAAACTGTTCTGGTGGTCGGTGCTCTGTAGCGCCGGCCAGAGGGCAACAGTTGAAAGAGAGAGTGGGCTGGATGTGAGGGGTGCAGAGTGATTTTTGTAAAGATCTTGGAGGTTGGGCAGGGGGAATCTTCTCAGCAGTCCTGACTCTCCGTTAGGGCAGAACATCTTAAATTCATAAAGTTATGGCATTAAATGTTGCTTGCACTGCATTAAGCAGATATCTTAAAATATCTAAACCAAGGTACATTTCCTTGAGATGGAAAAATGAAGATTTGTTTTCTGAGAAATTTAACACAATTTAAGTGAGTTTATGCATTAAACAAGAATGAAAACCTGTTTTGCCTTTGAATTGAGGTTTTAATCTTAATTTCGATCAATTGCTCAGAAAACAGGTCATTTTGCATCCTTTAAAAATCTTTAGACGAAAAAACCCAAGACAGAAATACTGAGGAAGAACATCACGTCTTTGCAGTGTCATCAGAAGGTTTAAGTTATTTCCATCATATTTGCGCTTTTTTTATATGCTTATACAACTCACTGTGCTTCCTAAACATTTACATTTAGAGAATGGATTGACATATTTCCTCTATTTATTCCTTAAATTCTTTAATTGGTTTTTCTAGAAAAAGTCTTAAATTTACCTGCAGTAACCTTTAATATATGAACGCACTGTTGAATACATTGAGACTATATTTTATGGTGTTTATACCAGGAAGCTCTAAAGAGCAGTTACACTCACAGTATGGATGGATCACATGTGTCAGAGACTCGAGGTCTGTCGAAGAGAAGATTTTAAACCAAAAATGCAATAAAATCGCATGAACAAGCTAAAAATCAACCAGCTTTCCCCTACAATTAAAATTAAGGGATGTTAACACTAGGTATGTTATGTTTACACGTGCACTAGTTTTCATCAGTCAGAATGAATCTAATCCGATTTCAGATTTTGAAAGTTCTGTTTATATGCAGCCTTGCAATCTGATTCACATTTGTTTTCACATTCAAAACAAAATCGCAGCGCTTATGTAGCGCCCAGTCGCCGCGTTCAGAACTGAAGAAAGATACTGTGGTCAGAATCAGAATTGGCTTTATTCGCCAAGTGTGTGCAAACACACAAAGAACTTGTTGTGGTTTTTAGGAGCTCTTGGTATCTTCAAAGCTGTTTTTTTAGGAGATCGTCATAATGTCACGAGAACTACTGTGAACATAATGCCTCTGCATGGCTGACGTATGTCAAAAGAGCTTTTTGAGCAAATATTTATGAACTTTCCAGTGGATGAGACTGAATATTTACTAAGACATGAGGCATAAGTAAACACACATATGTTCGTATGACGCAAAACCTTTGTAAACATGCGGATCACGTTACTGCGCAAGGTTGTTTTTTTCTTTTTAATCTAACTTGAGAAAATAGTCGATTGTTTCTGTTGATTATTCCAGGTCTACACCATTTTAATTCAGTCAGCAGTTTGATTGAGATATTAACATGAAGGCTTTTCAATCCGATTGAGCCATTAATAAATATAAACGTAGCTATTGTCTTCTACAATGTGCAACACAAGAAAACTTAGTTTAGTATTTCATGACCCTTTAAGTAAATGACCACACAGAAAAAGTGTTTAGCAGTTTAGAAGAACTGATCAATACATGATTAGCTCCGTCTTGGATAATACACATTATTTTGTGATGATTATTTGTCACTATTAGTCACAAATTTATGGATTTAGATTTATAATATTCAACTGTAAGATTTATGTAGTTAACTGAGAAAAATATGTATGGAAGTCTGTTTCCGCCACTGAATAAAAAAATATAAAAGATTATCAGAATTGCATATAAAGTTGCAATTGAGTTATAAAGTCAGAATGTAATTTTTTTTGTCTTCATAACTCGAAATGGTGAGTTTATACATCTAAAAATTCTGAGAATTTCAAGAAAAAGTCCAAATTGCAAGATATAAACTAATAGGAAAAAAAACATCAGAATTAAGCGATATAATTGCAATTGTGAGAAAAAAGTCAGAAGTGCGAATTTATATTTCACAATTCTGATTTTATTTCTCGCAATTGAAATGAATCAAAAATTTTCAAGAAGCTAGAGAATGCATTGACGTATTTTGTTCTCGATTTATTCCTTACGTTGTCTTTAATTGCTTTTAAAAAAAGGTCTAGAAAAAGTCTTCAATTTACCTTCATAAAACCCACACCGTTGCATTTTAAATACATTTTGAGAATTATTTTATTACTGTTTTGTTTTATTTTTATATGAGACTTATTATTTTTATTATTAAAAAGTCTGAATTGCGAGTTTATCTCATTCAGTTCTGAGGGAAAAAAGTTACAATTGCAAGACTTAAGGCCCGTTCACACCAAGCACGATAACTATAAAGATAACGATAAAGATATAGTTCTAAAAATTGTTCTCAATATTAAACAATAGCATAGTTCACAGCACAACGATAACGATACAGAGGAACCATATCGTTGTGATCACTTTCAAAATGATTTTTTTTTCCAGCTGATGAACGATAAAACACTGACAGCCAATCAGAATCCATCCTGCTATAACGAGCTCAAGAATTTAAAGCGGCAGACGCATGTGCGCTTAGAATAAACAGACCATATCCTTCGCTGATGTGGACGCTAATATCGTTATCTTGTATATATATACCGGACAACTCTCTCTCTCTCTCTCTCTCTCTCTATATATATATATCTATATCTCCGGTTATGAGCGATAAGTAATGTTTTATTAGAACAAAGTATACAGGAGTATACCAAAATATAAAAAAATTTACACCGAGTGCACACAACCTAAATTATCACATTTTCTCCAGTGTTATTTTAGTTTTTAGTGTTTTATATTATTTCATTTGTATTCATTTTTTGTGTTTGTCATTTTAATTAGTTTTTTATGTTTATTTAT